TTACAGCTGTGTAGCTAAAACACATTTTTGTTGATGATATCAAGATGATATCAATATACATAAATCAGTAAGAAACGTAAATGTGAACCTATCATCAAATATACATCAATATTTCAATTTCTTCAAATAGGATCTGCTGCAGCGGATCATTTTCTAAAGGATAGATAACAGGTGGTTGGGAAATCATATTTCCTCACTGCCTGCTTAACCCTGGAAATCCCAGAACCACTGTGGCGCAGCAGTGTGCATTATATGCAAGTAAAAGAAAAAGTTAGGCATTTTATACACTTTATGGGGTCTGACCCTTATGATTAAGCATGAGATCATGTGAAACGCGTTAACAAGTCCTGTATTCATGTCCTGGTGTTTTTGTGTGTCCTATGGATCAATAAATACACACTATATTCATCTATCGTCCGTTGTGCGGCTGAACCTTCTTTCTGTTGCATTGTGTGTGTTGGCGAGCCGGAGCCTGCACCTGTTGTGGATTGATCTGGATTGTTTGCCTGAGCGGTATACCTTTTGTTCTTTGCATTATATGCAAGTAAAAGAAAAATTTAGGCATTTTATACACTTTATGGGGTCTGACCAGACACTACTGGCAACATACTTCTATGGGATAAACATATAACGCAACACAGTAAGGGTACCAAATTCTTAAAATGAAATCTACTGATCACACTAATGTTTGAACCACATCCACAAAACCCCACCCTAATTTGTAGACACATCTACAAAATTTTGCCCCATTTTTAACACTCCTTGAAACAATTGGTCACAGACTTTTGGAATAAGAGGAAAACATTTAGTTTAAAGACAAAATACCTTTTGGCACCAGGAGAGGAATGATGCTGTGAATTGTGGACGTGGCTAAATTGTTGTAACAGGTGGCAGAGCTTAAACTGTCAGTAGATTTAGATATATCCCCAAGGCATTAAACAATACAAACAACAGTATATACTAAAAATATGATTTCCAGTCACCTTATTTTATGTACACAATGCTGCAGTCATGTGATGTTTAGTTTCTTCTCCACACCATATTGTGAGAGGGGTGGGTGGAGCAAGGCGGACACCTCTTGTGTACCCTACCGATATCACATAAGGGGTGGATAGCAGGGAGAAAACCTTGTCAGTCATTCCTGCTGGAGCCGCCCTGTAATGTGATACAATGCCAAGTGGGGCAGAAAGAAAGGAAGAGGAAGGAGATGTTCAGGAACCTGCTGGAGCCACCCCAGAAGATGATGAAAATAGTCACGTGGGGTAGCTTCTTAAGCTGAAACTGCAGGTGCATGGCTTGTGAAGGGGGATCTGGCAGCGCATGCACAATGACTGTGGCAACAGAGGATACACAGAATCAGCTGCTATTCCATTGCCACTCTGAATAGGGAAGCTGAGTAAAGCAGCAAGATCAACCAGGTATTTACCAACAATCACAGCATGCATAATAGACAGCTTATACAGAATGGTAGACAGGGCTTTTTTTTCTGCCGGAACGCCATTCTGCCACCTTCGGCGCTAGCCCTGTGCTAGCCACTCACTGCTGTCACTTGCAAACACTGGTATCCAGTTCCTGTGTCTCCAAGTGACAGCTTAGCTCTCCCGGCGACAAATACAGAGCCCTTCCTGTCCTGCAAATTCCCAACAGCAGTGGAGGGGGAGGTGAGAGGGTGGTACCTCAATCCAGGAGGTGTCGTCATGCCCAGAATTTCTTTTGACCACCTAGTTTTGCAAAGTGCGGTCTGCACATGACCAGCTTCAGTAGATGAGAGCAGGAGACGTCACCCACCTCCTGTTGTAATTTCACCCACCAATTAGCAGCAAGCAGGAACAATCACTCTGCAGGTGCCCTCCTCTCTTCTTCCTTCTGCACAGCTAGATTCTGAGAATTATGAATGCAGCACTACCTCTGTCATAGCATCAGAAACAAAAGGCTGGCTTTCACCTAGCAGAAGAGCGGGGAGCAAGATGCATTCTTATATACAGTAAGTCTTTGTATTGTGACTTAGTGTATGTAGCTCAGCTGTTTCTTCTAGATCTAGAAGTAAGAATTAGCCGGGTGAAAAACGTTACTTTAATGGGACTGCCTACATGGGAATGCATGGAACAATGGTGCATCCATGTGTGGGTAAACACAGCCTTGCACAGGGCACAAATCAAATCACCTCATGTGAATGAGGTCTTGGGGCTGTAGGGGGTGCTCTTTACTGGAGGTGGAGGGAGGGATTGGGGCCCCTGGGGGAGATATGAGCTGGGCTGGGGAGAGGTGTTTTGTACTGGCTGAAGGGGGTGATTTTTGGCTGTATTCTGTACAGTGGCCTGATCATCACGTACTCCTGACCCCTGCACTCTCTGCATTACGTACTCCTGACCCCAGCACTCTCTGCATTACGTACTCCTGACCCCAGCACTCTCTGCATTACTTAGTCTTGACCCCTGCACTCTCTGTACTACTTATCTCTGACCCCAGGATTCTGTGCATTATGCACTTCTGACCCCTGAATTCTCTGCATTGTCCTTTATTCTATGTGTTACTTTAAGACTCTTCCACTTATCCATTTTGCCACACCCACCATTTTATGTGCACGCTTTTCCCTTGCAAAAAGTGGGGGTTTGTGGGTCGTGGTTGAGTTCCTGCATTTTTTTTATGAGAAATAAAATCTAAGCCTATGCTACTATAGGTCAAAAGAGTGTAAAGCATACCAAGAAGGGGTCAAGATTAAGTAATGCACATGGTTCGTGGGTCAGGATTAGGAAACAGAGAGTTAAGGTGTCAGGATTAAGTAACACAGAGTTAAGGTGTCAGGATTAAGTAGCACAGAGTTAAGGTGTCAGGATTAAGTAGCACAGAGAGTTTAGGTGTCAGGATTAAGTAACACAGAGAGTTTAGGTGTCAGGTTAAGTAACACAGAGAGTTTAGGTATCAGGATTAAGTAGCACAGAGAGTTTAGGTATAAGGTTAAGTAACAAAGAGAGTTTAGGTGTCAGGATTAAGTAACACAGAGAGTTTAGGTGTCAGGATTAAGTAACACAGAGAGTTTAGGTGTCAGGATTAAATAACAGAGTTTACGTATCAGGATTAAGTGACACAAATGCTTATTTATCACAATGAAATTAATTGCTATAAGCAATCATAATAACAAATACTGATCTCTTCCCAGAGTAGTACAATGTTACAATGGTAACATTATATTACTCTTGTCACAGTGTGTTATAAAAAAAATCTTAAAAAAAGAAAATAAAATGTAATAAAAATAAAGAATACAAAAAACTGATAAAAAAATTATTGTCACCAGTCAGTGTCCCTGATCACCGCCACAGTTATATGATTACTCTGTACTGTACTGGTGACAGTAAAAACATTTATGTCAAACTATCAAACTTAAAAAAGTTCACCCTGCCTCTTACTAATTAACTCAGACTGTCTACTCTCCCAAAAGAAGGAACATGGGAATATCTGTACTATACTGACATTTTTGCGCCTCAAGAAATGAGATAGGCCGTAAGTAGAGCAGGATTGATCGATTTTCAGATATACACACTAGTTTCTGGATTCTATAACTTTCCTACAGACTAAATAATATACACTGATTTGGGTTATTTTCATAAAAGAAATGTATCAGTATACACTGTGACCTAAATTTCTGAAGAACAATTATTTATTTGCAAACTTTTATAACAGAAACTAAGAAAATAAGAAAAACTTGGGTTTTTTTTTTTCAAAAGTTTTGGACTTTTTCAGTTATTTAGCAAATAATTAGAAACCCAATGGTGATTCAAAGTGCGACAGTGCTGAAAGATGAAAATTGGCTTGGGCAGGAAGGGAGTAAAAGTGCCCAGTATTGCTTAAGTGGCCCAGTAAGTGGTTAAGGCGCCACATGCAAAACTTAAACAACACAAAGTTTTTAAAAAGATAATAGAGTCTATTATAACATCATATTAAAATTACATAAAACTAACATTATGCATTTAGTGATTTACACATTTAACACTTCTCTACTCCTATGGTATCAAAGTGGGACATTTGCAAGGTGTTGTTCACAATATTACACTGTTTAAAAAACTCAATGCGTTTCACAGCTAGCAAAGTTGCTTGCTCAGGAGTATAGTACAAGAGCAATACAACATATTTAGCACATTAGATGTGGCCTGACGTCTACAGAAAAGTCAACCCTGTGTACAAAGGTATACTGTCCTGGAGCACACTAGAAGGCCAAACAATGCTCAGTCAGGAACAGGGAGCTACTGTATGTATTGATAGTAATAGTTCTCCAGTGAAACCAGCCCCCTAGTATCTAGGCAATACTTTGTGTCATACATTTTTATATGTGGTGCCTTAAAAATCCATAATTCCTTTTTCAGTATGGTCCATTTGTTCAGTAATTGAGGATGTGCCAACCTAAGTATTACCCCATGGTCTATTAAACTTTATGTCTTTAAAACAAGTAAATATAATATACACTATATTGCCAAAAGTATTGGGACGCCTGCCTTTGCACGCGCATGAACCTTAATGGCATCCCAGTCTTAGTGTTCGATATTGAGTTGGCCCACCCTTTGCAGCTATAATAGGTTCAATTCTTCTGGGAAGGCTGTCCACAAAGTTCAGGAGTGTGTCTATGGAAATGTTTAACCATTCTTCCAGAAGCACATTTGTCAGGTCAGGCACTGATGTTGGACGAAAAGGCCTGGCTCACAGTCTCCGCTCTAATTCATCTCAAAGGTGTTCTATCGGGTTGAGGTCAGGAATCTGTGCCGTTCAGTCAATTTCCTCCACCCCAAACTCACTCATCCATGTCTTTATGGACCTTGCTTTGTGCACTGGTGCGCAGTCATGTTGGAACAGGAAGGGGCCATCCCCAAACTGTTCCCACAAAGTTGGGAGCATGAAATTGTCCAATATGTCTCGGTATGCTGATGCCTTAAGAGTTCCCTTCACTCAAACTAAGGGGCCAAGCCCAACCCCTGAAAAACAACCCCACACCATAATCCCCCAAACTTTACACTTGGCATAATGTAGGCAGACAAGTACTGTTCTCCAAATCCAGAGGCCTCCATCAGATTGACAGATGGAGAAGCATGATTTGTCACTCCAGAGAACACATCTCCACTGCTCTAGAGTCCAGTGGCAGCGTGCTTTACACCACTGTATCTGACGCTTTGCATTGCACTTGGTGATGTAAGGCTTGGATGCAGCTGCTCGGCCATAGAAACCCATTCCATGAAACTCTCTATGCACTGTTGTTATATTAATCTGAAGGCCACACGAAGTTTGGAGGTCTTTAGCTATTGACTCTGCAGACAGTTGGCGGCTTCTGCACACTGTGCGCTTCAGCATGCACTGACCCCGCTCTGTCATTTTACGTGGCTTACCACTTAGTGGCTGAGTTGCTGTTGTTCCCAGTTGCTTCCACTTTGTTATAATACCACTAACAGTTGACCGAATATGGAATAATAGTGGATTATTTAGTAGCAAGGAAATTTCATGGATGGACTTGTTGCACAGGTGGCAACCTATCACAGTACCACGCCTAAATTCACTGAGCTCCTGAGAGCAACCCATTCTCTCACAAATGTTTGTAGAAGCAGTCTGCATGCCTAGGTGCTTGATTTTATACACCTGTGGCCATGGAGGTGACTGGAACACCTGAATCCAATGATTTGGAGGGGTGTCCCAATACTTTTGGCAATATAGTGTACCTATCTATTTATTAATGCTAGCCTGATAAGGATTAAAAAAAAGTGACGCTTAAAGTTTAGTAATACAGACAGTTCAGAGGTTGGGAATAAGTAACACACAGAATACAGAGTATGTTAGGAACAAGTAACTCACAGATGACAACGACCCCCTACTTCCAGTGTCTGACTTTAGCCATCCACAGATTTGTCCCTGGGAGACAGGCATTGTACAGGGCATTACAGTGCACAGGCTCCAGCTGATGTCAGGCTATGAAAATTGTTCTAGCTGGTGCGGCTGTGGCACATTAATGCTTGAGCAATGTGACTTCAGTTGGAGCATACAATGGTCTTTTATACAGTACCTGGTTCACAATGGAGACTGTCCCTAGGAAATGGGGACAATGGTAACCTTATCATACAGAAGAGACACATCAAAGTTTTATTCGAATATCACCTGAGCTTTGTATATAGTACCTAGGATATAAGATAACAACTAAGACTGCTGTGGGCTATCAAGGTCTGAACAAAGATTGTGAGCTCCTTTGTGGAACTGATGTGAATGGATGTTTGTACTGTAGCGCTATATAAATATTGGAAGGTAATAATAAAGTAAGCTGGACGGGTTTGTATGAATGTTTCCAGAAGATTTATATATGTTTCTTACCCTTGTTTATAGGATACATGCATAATTGTCCATGGGGGGTGTCAAGGGAAGGAGAAATGTGACAGTGCCTTGATGTCTTAAATGCATGAATAACAAAGTGGAATTCCTGTCAAGCAGCTAAACATGTTGAGATCCATGCATGTTTTACCTACCAAAGGACTGTTTAGCCATAGAAAATGAATAAGGAGCTCTCTAATAGCTCCTTCACTAATAGACTAGCTGGTAAGTGTTGCTGGGAAATCTTTTGTTTGTTTTTGGATGTGCATTGCACTTCCATTTGCACCTTCCTGCTAAGGCTGGTTATAGATTGGGACGGTTGCCTTTTTTCTTTTTATGAATCAAGACTGCACCAAATTGTCCAGAGGATTTAATCATTATGTTCACAGTAAACACTAACATCCCCGTGGCCAACTGTATCAGAATATTTCACATTAGCCACAGAACATGGATATATGTGCAATTATATACTGAGATAAATGATACCAAATAAACTTCTGTTCCAAACCAGAGGGTATACTTAGAAAGAAGAGACTCTGCCATTCACCAAACATTCACTGAAGGTGAATTTTCCTGCTGTCACTCTTTTATATGAAAGCAAATGACTCATCATCAGTGAATGTTTGATGAAAGTCACATCAACCACTTTTTAAATATGCTCCATAGTGTTCTACTAAGTATGGCCAACAAATGCTCTACAGCAGGGGTCTCTAAACTTTCTAGACAAAGGGCCAGTTGATTGTCCTTCAGACTTGAGGGGGGCCAGACTATGACCAGTGGGAGTAGAAAATGTCCACACATCCAGTGGGAGTAAACAATGCCCTATCTTTGGTGTCAGTAGGAGGACTAGTACTCTATCATTTGTGTCAGTGGATGGAATAGTGCCCCATTGTTGCTATCAATGAAAGGAATTCTGCCCCATCGTTGGTGTCAGTGGGAGGAATTATGCCTTTTGATTGGTGTCAGTGGGAGGAAGAGTGCCCCATCACTGGTGCCAATGGAAGGAATTGTGCCCCATCCCTGGTGTCAGTGGGAAAAACCGTGCCCTATTGTTGGTGTCAGCAACAGGAATTATGCCCCATTGTTGGTGTCAGTGGATGGAATATTTCAAGGCAAGCAAAGGGCCACATCCGGCGCCTGGACCATAGTTTGGAGACTACTGCTCTACAGTATCTCACAGTCAGTCTTACAATGCATTCTTTTTTGGTCTCATCTGACCAGAGCACCTTCTTCCACATGTTTTCTGTGTCCCCCACATGGCTTCTTGCAAACTGCAAATGGGACTTCTGATGGCTTTCTTTCAAAAATGCTTTCTTCTCACCACTCTTCCATCAAGGCCAGATTTGTGGAGTGCATACCTAATAGTTGTCCTGAGGACAGATTCTCCCACCTCAGCTGTGGAGTTACCATGGGCCTCTTAGCTGCTTCTCTGATTAATGCTCTCCTTGCCCGGCCTATCAGTTGGTGGACGGCCATGTCATGGTAGATTTGCAGCTGTGCCATACTCTTTCCATTTTCGGATGATGGATTGAACAGGGCTCCGTGAAATGTTCCAAACTTGGGATATTTTTTTATAACCTAATCCTGCTTTAAACATCTCCACAACTGTATCCCTGACCTGTCTAGTGTGTTCCTTGGCCTTCATGATGCTGTTTGTTCACTAATATTCTCTAAAAAAGAATAGAGAACAGCTGTATTTATACTGAGATTAAATTACACACAGATGGGCTCTATTTACTAATTAGGTGACTTCTGAATGCAATTGGTTCCATTAGATTTTAGTTAGGGGTATCAGAGTAAAGGGGCTGAATACAAATGCACTTTTCAGACAAAAACAATTTTGAAATCCATTTATTTTCCTTCCATTTCACAATTATGTGCCACTTTGTGTTGGTCTATCTGTCAAATAAAATTGCAACAAAATACATTTACATTTTTGGTTGTAATATGACAAAATTTGGAAAATTTCAAGGGGTATGAATATTTTTTCAAGGCACTGTAAATTCAACCGAGTATGCTTCCTGCTAATAATATGCCAAATGACTCTGGCCTGAAAATAAATGTATGCATGTTGCAGATGCTGATAGATCCATAACTGGCACTGAGAGAATTTCAATCAATAGAAATGCATGGGAGATTGCCAAAAAGAGGATTTATCCCATATCTATGCAGTGAGCATGCATTTCCTTATCTGGGAAGAAGTATTTCATTTTTGGCTGGAATATGCTTTAAAGATCTTCCAGTTTTTAAGCTAAAGCGATATCCTGAATCATGATTTAAATAATCAAACGGCATATAATAAGAATTTTAAAGCATTAATTTAATTTGTAAAGGCAGAAGGTCTTCTGTGTGCAGCTTCCCCCTTATACTTATCTGAGCCCGATCCGGCTCCTGCTGCTGTCAATCACAGCCTGTGAAGGGGGGAGGGGCTGAGCAATGCTGTCTCTGTGTCTATGGATACACAGGTTACAGCTTGGGATTGAGCCTGCACAAGTGCCCCCATAGCAAGTGGTTTTTTCTATGGGGGTACTCACTAGGAGGCGGAGTCAAGAGAACTGGTGGGGGTCCTGAGAAGAGCAGGATCAGGGCTGCTTTGTGCAAAACCATTGCATAGAGCAGGTAAATATGAAATATTTGTTATTTTCATTTTAAAAAAATGGAGCATTAAAAATCACTTTCACTTTTGCTGAATAAAAAGCAGTCCCCTCACTCAGTTATAGCTTTATAATGAAAGAGTCTTTTCAAAATCGGTTCCTGCAATAATAATCCCCCGCATTGGTGTCAGTAGCAGCAATAATAATCCCCAGCAGTGCTAGCCAGTGGTATTATGCTATTTAAATCCCCTTGGTGGGTGCTCCTACCGTGGCATTTCAGCTTAAACCAAGGTAGCTTTAAAATGCCCCTTCCCACCTCCTAACATCTACACTGACTAACTGTGAAAAAAAAAAAAAAAGATGTATATACTTACCTATTGTCGGACTGCTCCGTTCCAGTCACATGATCTTCCCTGTATCAATCAGCAGCGGCTGCAGGGGAGAGGAGAGAGCGCCTGACAACGACTGGTAAAGCCTGGAGTGGTGACATCACCCATAGATCAGCTATTGACGACGTTCTTTCCTCTCCCCTGCATATGCCGCTGGCTCACATAGGCAGATCACGTCTAAGTTAGTCAACATGGGTGTTCGGAGAAGTTGGGGCATTTTTAGGGTTGGTTAGGTGTAGACTAGAATCTCTCTACAATAGTGATCAGTAGCAATGTAATTAACTTCTTTGTGCTGCATTAGTGGACAGTGGCAGCGTTTATTAATCCCTTCATACTGCAGCATGAAGAGGTTAATTAACACTGCTACCGATCACTAATGCATCAGTGACCATTGGCTGTAGATGAACCCCTTTGTACTGCATATTACAAACCCCCCACACTCCCCATGAGATGCCCCTGGTACCTTTTCATAGGCTTTTTTGAGTTTGGGCAAGGACACAGGGGCCCCATGATCCCCTATTGCCCGGGGGCCCCATGAGTTGTCAGTCCGCCCCTGCTTCTGTTCACACCAATCTTAAAAGCTTCCAAATTCCACTGACCACCATTGTAAGGAGCAGTATGCTACAAACACCTGACTGCTATAAACTTTTCACTAAACCTTGTGTTACATACTGCAGACCGCTTTATGGTATATGAGGTGTTGTACAGCACATACTCCTGATCACTGCACTCTATACATTGTAGTGTACTTTACAATCTCTAATTTTAAGAGACTCTTTAAACACTGGATTGATACTAGTGGATTGGTACAAGGCCAATGTCATGCCTAATCTTAATGAAGGATGAAAGTCACCCATTAACTACAGACATACAGTTTAAGTTTAGCTTCTTAGGTAGGGAAGATCCTTGGGGGTTTAATAAAGAACCACATACAAGAGGTTTTGCTACAAAACATTATTATATGTGATAACTACCATGAGCTAATGAAAGACCAAAGTTGTCAAACAAATCTACATTTGTAAGCAAGAACTTAGACAAAGGTGTGGTTATGGATGCAGTATACTTGAATATTGCTAAAGTGTTTGACACCATTCCCCACGGACAGTTAATGTGTAAATTGAAAAGGAACTATATTTTACCTTATATTTAACTGCCCGAGTCACTTGCTGACATCTTCTCCCCATGTGTCTTTGGGCATCTCTATTGTGCAGGTCAGTCATTCTGGGACACAGGGACTATCCTGGCTATACAGTATATACGTTGAGCTGAGCATTCACAA